CGCGAGAGAGAGAGAGCGCGAGAGAGAGCGAGCGAGAGCGCGAGAGAGAGATACCTGACTGGAGAGCACAGACTGAAAACTACTCTACAGAGCACAACACAGATGTCCTGCACTCTTCTCTTCATTCCTGTGTTTAACTCCGCTGTATATGGAAGCCCGTTTCCACCACTGAACCAAAAATAAAAAAGATATTTCTCAGAATTGCATGATATAAATTCAGATTTTTTTTCCCAGAATTGTGAGATAAATTAAAGTCACAATTGCTATAGATATGACTTTTTTCGCAATTGCAAGTTTATATCTTGCAACTGACTACTTTTTCTCGCAATTGTTAAGTTTGTCTCTCAGAATTACGAGTTTAAATCTCACAATTCTGACAATTTTCTCGCAATTGTTAGTTTGTCTCGCAATTCTGACATTTTTTCCTCGCAATTTTGACATTTTTTCTCACAATTGTTAGTTTATGTCTCGCAATTCTGACTACTTTTTCTCGCAATTGTTAGTTTATGTCTCTCAGAATTACGAGTTTAAATCTCGCAATTCTGACTACTTTTTCTCGCAAAAAGTAGCAATTCTGACTACTTTTTCTCGCAATTCTGACTAGATTTTTTTTTTCAGAATTGTGAGATATAAACTAAAGTCACAATTGCTATAGATATGTAGAAACTACTTTGAAAAAAAGACTACTTTATTACAATTGCCAGTTTAGATCTCACAATTCTGACTTTATAACTTGCAATTGTGTGTTATAATGTCAGAATCGCGAGATATAAACTTGCAATTCTGAGAAAAAAGAATGAAAGAATTACGAGTTTAAATCTTTCAATTCTGACTTTTTTCTTGAAATTGCGAGTTCTCACAATTCTGACAATTTTCTCGCAATTGTTAGTTTAAATCTCGCAATTCTGACATTTTTCTCACAATTCTGACTATTTTTTTCTCGCAATCGTTAGTTTATGTCTCGCAATTATGACTTTTTTCTCGCAATTGTTAGTTTAAATCTCGCAATTCTGACAGTTTTTTCTCACAATTCTGACTAGATTTTTTTTTCCAGAATTGTGAGCTATAAACTAAAGTCACAATTGCTATAGATATGTAGAAACTACTTTGAAAAAAAGACTACTTTATTACAATTGCAAGTTTATATCTCACAATTCTGACGTTATAACTTGCAATTGTGTGTTATAATGTCAGAATTGCGAGATATAAGCTTGCAATTCTGAGAAAAAAAGAATGAAAGAATTACGAGTTTAAATCTTTCAATTCTGACTTTTTTCTTGAAATTGCGAGTTATCTCACAATTCTGAGTTTTCTCTCACAATTCTGACTTTTTTCTCAGAATTGCATGATATAAACTATATAATTATGGGGAAAAAAAGTCAGAATTGTGAGAAAAAAAGTCATATATAATACATAATATTATATTATATTACTTTATATTATTCCCTTGCTAATTTTTATGAGACTAAATGCTGCCCTTAATGAATGAAAGGCGTCTCGTATTTTATAAAGTATGTATGTATCCAACTAGGGCTGCACGATAAATCGCATGTGATATTTAACACGCATTTTATCAGTTAAGCCGGATGGAGATTTACCGCTGATTAAAAAAAACGACTTTCTGACAAGATGCGCATTAAATATCACATGCGATTTATCGTGCAGCGCTATATCCAACTATCAGGAAAAAATAGGAGAATGTATACTACTGTTAAAAAGTTTGAGGTCAATATGTTTAACAAAAAAGAAAAAAAAAGAAAAATCTATATTTGTATTCAGCAAGGGCAAGGATGTATTAAATAGTTCAAAAAAGAAAAGACACTAATACCATTACAAAATATTTATATTTCTAATAAATTATTTTGTTTTGATCTTTCTATTCATCACAGAAACCTGGAAAAAAATGTATCAGGGTTTCTACAAAAATATGAAGCAGCACAACGGTTTTCCACATTGATAATAATCAGAAATGTTTATTGAGCAACAAATCAGCATATCAGAATGATTTCTGAAGATCATGTGACACTGAAGACTGGAGCAATGATGCTGAAAATACAGCTTTGACTCATAAATTACATTTTAAATATATTCAAATAGGAAAAAAGTTAAATAAAAAATAAACAGCATTACTGTTTATTTGTTTATTCAAATAAATGCAGCCTTGGTGAGCATAAGAGACTGACCCCAAACTTGGCCGAGCCTCTAATACCACAAACAGAACAAGGAGCGGGAAACAGACTACATGGAGAAACATGAATGAACTGAACAGCAAAGCTCAGAATGTGGACTGTAGGAACAGAAGTCCCTCCATTTAATTAAAACAACCAATCGGCTTAAAGGTAAAGGCCCTACCTTGCCTTAACTGCTCTAGAACACACATTAGCTGAAGCAACCGATTGTAGCCAAAGATGGTAAATCTATGATACCAGTTCTGTCAGAATTAACCAACTAATAAACTTTCTGAAGTAAGAGTTAAGGCCTTTCCACACGGAGCGCGATGCGAATCACCAACGAACGGTGCTTTCACAACGAGCGCGAAACAAAAGTTCGTCTTCTGCTAATTCACGCCTGCACGCTAGGTGGCGCCAACCAACAATACATTTTTCCTCAGATATGCATCTCGTAAATGGATTTAACATCATCCGCTGCTCAATGTACAGCATTAAATTAAGATAAACAAGGTTCTACACCAGAAACAAACTGTCTATAATGCTTACAAGAATAGGCTACATCCTAAAATATAATTAGAAGTACAAATAGCATCAAGCTACACTTGAAATTGTATGTACCGTATTGTCCCGAATATAAGACTATGTTTTTTTTCTTGGAAATACATCTGAAAAAACGCGGTCGTCTTATATTCAGGGTCTAGACTTTGACATGTCAATAATACACACACAACAATAGGTGGCAATACAAATATAGATTTTTCTTTTTTTTTCTTTTTTGTTAAACATATTGACCTCAAACTTTTTAACAGTAGTATACATTCTCCTATTTTTTCCTGATAGTTGGATATAGCGCTGCACGATAAATCGCATGTGATATTTAATGCGCATCTTGTCAGAAAGTCGTTTTTTTTAATCAGCGGTAAATCTCCATCCGGCTTAACTGATAAAATGCGTGTTAAATATCACATGCGATTTATCGTGCAGCGCTATATCCAACTATCAGGAAAAAATAGGAGAATGTATACTACTGTTAAAAAGTTTGAGGTCAATATGTTTAACAAAAAAGAAAAAAAAAGAAAAATCTATATTTGTATTCAGCAAGGGCAAGGATGTATTAAATAGTTCAAAAAAGAAAAGACACTAATACCATTACAAAATATTTATATTTCTAATAAATTATTTTGTTTTGATCTTTCTATTCATCACAGAATCCTGGAAAAAAATGTATCAGGGTTTCTACAAAAATATGAAGCAGCACAACGGTTTTCCACATTGATAATAATCAGAAATGTTTATTGAGCAACAAATCAGCATATCAGAATGATTTCTGAAGATCATGTGACACTGAAGACTGGAGGAATGATGCTGAAAATACAGCTTTGACTCATAAATTACATTTTAAATATATTCAAATAGGAAAAAAGTTATTTCATAAAAACAGCATTACTGTTTATTTGTTTATTCAAATAAATGCAGCCTTGGTGAGCATAAGAGACTGACCCCAAACTTGGCCGAGCCTCTAATACCACAAACAGAACAAGGAGCGGGAAACAGACTACATGGAGAAACATGAATGAACTGAACAGCAAAGCTCAGAATGTGGACTGTAGGAACAGAAGTCCCTCCATTTAATTAAAACAACCAATCGGCTTAAAGGTAAAGGCCCTACCTTGCCTTAACTGCTCTAGAACACACATTAGCTGAAGCAACCGATTGTAGCCAAAGATGGTAAATCTATGATACCAGTTCTGTCAGAATTAACCAACTAATAAACTTTCTGAAGTAAGAGTTAAGGCCTTTCCACACAGAGCGCGATGCGAATCACCAACGAACGGTGCTTTCACAACGAGCGCGAAACAAATGTTCGTCTTCTGCTAATTCACGCCTGCACGCTAGGTGGCGCCAACCAGGATTAATAAGCAGACACATGAACTCTTTGTATGTTTAATAATGCTACACTGCTAATATTTGTCATAAACATCCTTTATTGCTATAAAAATACCGTGAGCTGCATACAAAACACATACAGAAAATATATCGTCATAATCATGTCTATTTGCGTTCATATTTCATGTGAAGAAAAAGAGTTAAGGCGCTCTGACTCATAACATTCGCACACGTGGAAGAAAACGGACGGTGCTCAACAGATCACATAATTCAGTGGACAATTAATAGAAATGTTATTCTGTATAAAGAACATGTGAGAATAAATCTGCTCTCAAATACCAACGATAACAAGAACCCAGCATCCACTCTCTTCTCTTATCCGGGATACTCTCCTTCTGTGTTTGTTTATACACTGGTTTTCGAAACAGCGCCACCACTCTTGCCTTTTTGTGCAACAGCAGCTGCTCTGGTCACGTGATCCTAGCTCAAATCTTATTGGACGGCCGTGTTTTCGCTTTGCGAAACTGAAAAGATTTGTCGGACTGGTGTGGAAATTTTTTTTTGTTGCATTTTCGGAGCGCGAATGTTCGCAGTCTATGTGGAAGCCTCCATAGAAATGTATTGTTTTTTATTCCAGTGCGTCATCGCGTCCAATATTCGTTTCGCTTTTTCGCGCTCAGTGTGTAAAGGCCGTTGGACCCAGTGTGTAGCATTTCTCAACACATTGAGCCGCAGTACTCATGTAGGTGACATGTTCAAATCCAGCACGCAACACTCCCTGATCCCTGACCGAGTGATCCTCTGTCCTCTCTCGTCAATCCGTTTCAAATAGTGACAAAAAGTTAAATGTCAGAACCAGAATCACGCACTACTGCAAACAAATCTTGAAACAGCACAACAGCAGCTCAACAACACTTATATAGCAATGCAACGCATGTCTACCTGATCTCCATTTGATGATGTCAGTGAATTCGCTGTTGTCTCCGGCCTCAGAGGCCTCTGACATTGTGCCCACGGTAGCCATCTTCCTTCTAAGGAGTCACGGGTACGTCTGACACGCTGAAGCAGAAATCCGGCTCTCCTTTACATATACAGCCCACTGCAAATCCCTGCAAAAGAGCACATCCCATCAGCCTGAGCTCTTTGAAATGCAACACCAGTATATTGTTGTCACATGACCTCATTATGTTACATGTTTAATTCAGAAGGTAGTGTTCAGTCATCACCCCAGAAAAGTCAAATTTCCGTTTGGTTTCCAATCCAGTTTTGTGTAAAAAATATTTGAATTTCACATTTATGCACATTTCAGCAAATGTAGTAGGCCATTCCATGAATGCAGAATATCCACTTACTGTCTTACATAGTGCACGTTGCTCTTTGAAATGTTAACACAGACCATGAGCGACGGGGGCAACCATGTGACCTTACTTTTTCGAACAACTGCAAAGCTTTGTGGGAGAGCTGGAAAGTGCAGAGCAGGGAGAGGCCATGCCGTTTCTTCTAGAATCAAATGAAACTGTTTCAGCATGGGCGTATAAACTCTTTTAGGTCATCCGGAAAGTGGGAAGAGGAGTGAACACAGTCTGAAAATCTGTTCAGCAATCCACCAAGTTGTGAGCCCCAAATGCTCACATGGTAAACTGCAGTGATGTTACAGCTCTGAGTGAATATGAACTGGTGTGGACTGAGCCAGGGCTGCGTTTCTCAAAAGCATTGCAAGCTAAGTTGATCGTAGAGTCCATTGGTGGCAAACTGGCAATGGTTCTACGCTCTACTTAGGCTTACAATGCTTTTGGGAAACGCAGCCCAGAGCTGTGAGACTGGAGGGGGCTATAGTTGAATTCTACTGCATTATAAATTCAGTCACAAGAAAGAAAAACAAACATGATCTCATTAATGAAATTCTCGTGCAATTATGAAGTACTTTGATTCTTTCCCTCAACAAGATCTCATTCTGAAAACTGTAAATATAATACTGCTTCAGATTCTGATCTGTGCCAATTCTAATTTTCATTCTACTTCTAATTATGTTTCTGAAGTAATTGAAATTGTTATTCGAGTTTCTAACATTATGATTCATAATTCTGATTTGAATTGTAATTACAATGCTAATTCAAATTCTGATTCTCACGGATGCTAATTTCAATTCTAGGCCTACTTCTGATTACATTTCTGGCGTAATTTAAATTTGAATTGTAATTCTTATACTGATTCAAATTTTGATTCTCAGCGATTCTAATTCTCATTCTAATTCTTATTCTATTGATAAGAATAGAATAAGAATTAGAAGAACTCTGATACAATTGAAGAGAACTCTGATACAATTGAAATTCTGATTCTAATTTTGATTGTAATTCTGACGCTAACTTAAATTCTGATCTGAATTATAATTATACCGATTTAAATTCTTACTCATTCTATTTCCTATTCTATTAAATTCCTAATTTGAATTGTAATGCTTAATTTATTCATTTCAATTCTGATTATGACTTTGATTCTATTTCTGATTCTCACCAATTATATTTCTCATTCTAACAATTTATGATTTGGATTGCAATTCTTACACCGATTCAAATTCTGATTCTCATCATTTCTAATTCTAATTTTGACTGACTCTTAGCAATTCAATTTCTTATTCTAATTCCATTGCTGCCACTATTTAAATTCAGATTTATTCCAGTTGTAATACTACTTTTCATTTGATTCTATTTTTACATGTCAACACAACTGTCAAGTGAGAGAAGTCCAACTTGTAATTACGTGAATTTGCAACTTCCAACATGACGTGATCTAATTTTGATTTGGATTCTGACTCCAAAACAATTCAGACACGCTATGCAACTGAAACTTATTTGCGGCACTGATGTTTGCTAGCAGAGGGTGTTACATTTAGGTTTATATTCTCTAAACCTATGCAACAAATCAGTCAATGCACATTTCATAGTGCATCCCTACTTCAAAAGCCGAATTAAAATTGCATTATTGAATGATTTGACAAATTCTGCAAAATGACAAATCTCGTCCTCTCATTGAGCAGTGCAAATCAGATGGCTCATGGCATTCAGAGATAAAGTATGGGTGCTGAGAGGCTGCTGCAGAGAGTTTGTGATGTCAAGATTGGCCTGAATCAGGGAAAAGCTACAGTGAGATCAACAGGGCAGGTGAAAACATCGGCCCTACAGCACCAACAGGCAGATGCACAATCAGGAGTAAGATGTTATCACCACATTAAGCACCCATACCAAAGAACACCCATCCGAACGAGGGTGGGACCAACTACCACACGAGAAAAACCAGGTCCTGTGTGCTTGTGTGTGTGTGTATGTGTGGAGGACAAGTTGTAACAGGAGCTGTCACCCAGCCAAACAGGTGACCACGTATTCATTCTGTAGCTCCCCCCACATTCCTGCCCTCAAAACACGCTCACTGATAAGGTCCACACCAACACCAGACCTCTCAAAACGGCACTTCAGCAGCTGATGGACACGATGGCTGGGTGATGTTATTGATTAGTAATGAGGTAATGAGCAGGAATGCAGAGAGTCGCTGGAGAGAACAGAAACACAGCCCCCTCTGATAATAATTTACTGCATGTCTTGTCCTTTAAAGGCTTCAGCTTTATAAGCAAATGTGTTGGCATGCAGCAAAAGTGAATGACGTAAATGGCTAACTTTAGATTCCAAAAGACTTGTACATGCATTCTTGCATAAAGTTTTTCGTTCGTGCATGCTTATAAAAACTAGATGCAACGGTCAATAGCAAGAATGACTTTTGTGTTCAGGATAAAAAAGCCAAAATCTAGAGAAAAATGCCATTTTTAGAAGCAAATCGTGAGTTGAAATACATGGCCATCTTACCTGCCAAATGTTCTGCATTGTGAAAGTGTACAGACCCTAACAACAACTCAAACTAACCCCCAAAAAACCATAACACTGACCCTAATAGTCATTAATTGGGATAAATGACTCTAATCCCAAACAACCTTAACACTGACCTAACCCTACTTAAAACTACACAACTCCAACTTTAACCTAGCCAAGCCCAACTCTAACTAAACCTTACTTTAACCTAACCTTAACTTACTTAAGGTTTAACTTACTTTAACCTAACCTTACCCTGCCTAACCGTAGATCATGTGACCCTAACTAAACCCAACCTACCCTACCATTTACTAACTCCAACCATAGCTTTAACTAACTCCTGCAATCCGAGATCAGTCCAAGTTTGTTTATTGAGTTTCCTACAATACAGCAATCAAACTTCTCACTAACTTCCAGGAATTAAAGGTCAGACAGACCATCAGAGAAACCAAAGGAGTAAATAACACTCACTAAACCCACTTAAAGCATTTCACAGATGCATAGCCTTCATCTGTTTGTTTGTTTGTTTGTTTAGTTTAACTTGTTTAGTCAGTCGGGTTCAGGCGCCCATAACTCAACAAACATCTCAAAGTTTAGTCAATACGTGTAAGTGTGATCTGAAAAGCAGCAGCAGCAGCAGCTCTCACCTTTGCGTGATGAACCTCTCAGTGCAGTAGCCCACAGTGACTTTGTATCATTGAGAAAGTAATGAATGATTGGCTCTTATTAGGGCATGTTCAGCGCTCCACACGTCCTCACTCAGCTGCCAGCTCGTCTAATGCTCCAGAACTCTGCTCAATGCTTTCACAACTCCCTCCAGGAAGCAGCAAAGCTATCCAACCCGACTGTTCTGGCGCTCCTGGAGCGTTTCAGCTCTGCCGCAAAGTTTCCTTTCCTCATGAATAACACAAGAAGAGTAACAGCGCGAGCTCTCTCCAGCAGCCCCGCCCGCACGCGCAGCAGGACTGATGGGCGCGTGACGTCACGAGGCGCACCTGATGGGTTGAGTGACGAGCGCGTCCCCGTGTGGAATTTAGTGGACAGTGTTGGGCAGAAACTGGTTACTGTAATAACATTACGTTTTACAGTAACTAGTCGTGTCACTAATTAATACGAGTTCAGTAATAATATTACAGTTCACATGCATAAAACAGCTAGTTAGGCTACTTAGTTACTTTCGATGCCTTAACCCCTACTTTTTTGAAATCCAACAATTCCTAGATTTATCAGGAAAGCTTAAAGCTTACATTCAGGGGATGGAAATATTGCCATTACACTGATTTTGTCAGGAGAAAAGCTGATCTGAACACAGGTGTGTAAATTGTGGCGTTACTTTACTCTGGTATTACACGGCTTGCCCACCCACATCCCTCTGATCCCCATAGAAATTCCCAGCGCTTGGTTGTATTTAACCCAGCATTTTTTAGAGTGTATAATTAAAACATCGTATGAACTTTTGATAAGATACTGCATGAAATGTAATCATATTTGGGTAACAGATAAATTATAGCTTCAAGTTACACATGACAACTAATAGGCGACACCACTTTTACTTAAAAGTCACTATCAATCACCATTGAGTGTCTGTAAAAACTTCTGACTGCGATCCAGTGTAGATTTTGGTCAAACGATGAGGCAGAAATATACTGTTAGTAACATTTTAGAAGAATTGTATGGGGAAGATACACAATTACAACTTCTGTGGGGCGTGAAGGAAACCCAGCAGTTGGGTTGTTTTGAACCCAGCTGTTGGGTTGTTTTGACCCCAACCGCTGGGTCAAAACAACCCAATAGCTGGGTTTGTCCCTTTTTAACCCAGCGCTTGGTTATATTTAACCCAGCATTTTTTAGAGTGTACAGTATATATGTACAGCATATTACACAACATTAAAAGCACTCACAGTTGAAGTGAATGGTTTACCTACAAAAAAAACGGTAAAAGGAAGGACAACCGCTGAACCGGCGACAGGATCATGGGCGCGCCGCCCAATGCTCATTATTGATGCACTTGGGGAGCCAAGGCTATTCCGTCGGGTCCGATCACACCGAAGAGGTACTGTAGCTCATATTGCTGAAATCTTACTGCTGGCCATGATAGAAAAGTGTCAGAACACACAGTGCATTGCAGTTTGTTGCGTATGGAAAATAAATTCAAATACAACAACCATGTGTATTTTGTTTAATTATTTTTTATTACATTTGATAATACACAAACACTTTGCTGATTAAACAACTTTACAACACAATATAAAAATGCACTACCATGTTACATACAGCCATGCCTCCAGCAAACTGTAGCCTAAACAAAAATAGCATATATTTCAGAAGCAATATATAAAAAAATGACAGATGCGAGAATATAGATGCAACATTACAGAGGTGTTGAATCTTATTCAGATTTTTGGTCTATAGCAATGTGCACACATATATATATATATATATATATATATATATATATATATATATATATATATATATATATATATATATATATATATATATATATATAT